TTTTTCCTTAAGATCTGGTAACGAGGACAACCTGATTTTCATTCTTACTTTTGTTACCTTTTTTACCGAGAGTGTTTTGACTGCTGAAGCTCCAGATATTTCCCATAAATAAGCCCCTTTTGTTAAATGTAAGGCACTCCTACTGGAAGCGCTTCGCAAAGCCCCGAAGTTACTCGCCTTGTCATAAAACGATCGTTTACACAAACATTTCTGGTACAGTTGCCTTCCAAGCAACTTAGAGGCAAAAGAAAGCTACTTATCTCTTGCTGTAACTTTTTTCCTTCTGCAAGAAGCTGTAGCACTGCGATCGATAAATGAGTGTCCATACAATGACTTTCCTTTTTCTTCTTCTTTTCTGATGGTGGATTCCCTGCGGTCAGGTTTCCAGACAGGCTCAAGCGCAGGATTCCTACCATGATAAAGGCAGAGAGCACCCCGAGGAAGGTGAGAAGCACACGGTCCTGTCTTGTGGTATCGTCCCTCTTAGTCCCCCTGTGAGCCGCCGCACGGTCCTCAAACCGGAGCTTGGTTTCTTTTGGGAAACGTAAATTTAGTACCTTTTGGGGAAGGGGTGTGCCAGGATGCTTTTGAAGCACGCTTAAAAAGGAGGTGGACGTGCAGCACGTTTATCTTGAGTGACCAAATGGTATTTCAGTTGTTTAGAAACTGATAAGTAGGCCAAATGGGTCTTCGCTGAAGAAATAACTATTTTTAGGATATCTGCTTAAACACCTCTATCTCTTCACTCGTACAGTGAAGCCGAGTTGTCTGTGCTCAGAAGCTCTGTGCTTTCTTCCACATAGCCAAAGTCTGTCACTTAAATCTCCTCTTCCAAATCTAAGCATGAACAGTCCTCTGGCTTTATTTTAATGTACCGGCTCATTAATTTTGATTGAGGAGGACAGAGGAAATAACAGAGTTCGTCGACTATCACTTGAGAAGCTGGACATGCGTACAAAGAATGCGTGCTGCGAAGGATGGGAGATTATGTTTAAAATGAAATGCTTATCATCACAAACTAACCCAGATCATAAATTCCATATAAAGGCAGACACAGTTCAGTCCTGATGCTTTCCAGGACTGTGTGGCGATCCTTCTCCAAACTGGTCCTTAAACAGCCTAAAAGCAATAATGTCCACGCTGGTAGCATTTGGCAGCGAGGGGGGGAGGTCAGCTCTGTATAGTTTTCAGCCTTGCATCCTCTTAAATCCTCACCTTTGAGTAGTATCGTTGTCAGCGGTCGTATAGATGGGAGACCTGTTGACCCCCCTTTGCAGGACCTGGACCCAAATTCTTTATTTTCCTGCAAAATAGCCTCCTTCGCTTGCCTTCCCTCTTGACTGTCTGTAGTGCCATGTGTGTCCAACACCGCTCCCCCTCCCAGACCGTTAGGGTCTCCTTCCAAGCCAGCCCCTGCCCTCTAATTGTTCCTGGTGAGCGCGGCCAGAATGAATTGTTCGCCGCACGCGGCGGCTCAGTGAGAGAAGGAAATGATTATGTCTAGTTATCACTGCCCTGTTTCTCCATTTCCTAACCATGATGTTGGAAACCCGTACTGGCAATACTTCTGAATCCACAAATCCTAAAGGGATGGGTAAAATGGGGGAAAACTGCTCCTTGAGAAACATGATGTCATTGCTGATGTTTCTGCCTTGATTTGAACAGGGACTAGTAAAATAAACTGGTTACTTTGAGGCTATTCCGTGTTTTAAGCATAAACTCCTCACGGAGAGTATTTGCTCCTTTAAGAATTAACTCTTCTTAAAAAAATGTTGTCACAAATTGCTGCGGACGGCTTTCTGTCAGGTAATTTCCATGAGTAAGGAAACGTTTGCATGCAGAACATTTGTATGAATGCACAGAACCTGTTTAAGTGCTTTAACTTACAAGAAATGCATATGTGGGGAATAATGTAATCATTGTTTCCTTTTCCGTAGGGAAGCATCCAGACGGTGGCTTATACAGCAAGGGACCATCATACTCTGGTTATTCTGGGTATATCATGATGCCAAATATGAATAACGACCCGTACATGCCTAATGGATCTCTGTCGCCACCCATCCCCAGAACAGTGAGTTATCTCTTCCGAAGACCGGTTTTGGCGAGCTGGGTTTCCTCCTGTTCGGTCTGCAGCGCGCGTTCACGCCGGGGTGTCTTCGGGTGGCCTCAGTGACGGCGAAGGTTGCGCTTCTGCTGCTCAGAGCCTCCGTCCAGCGGAGTCTGAGAGCTCTGAGAGGTGTCGGTCGCGATCGCGGTAGAAAAGCTGAGATTAACGGCTGCGGTGTCTGACGTGCTTTGAACAGGGCTGGGGGCTGGGGCGGGGGAGCCCTGGTTTACAACTGTGGGATAATATGTGGCGGAGTGATGCGAACGCCGTCTTTGTAGTGACTGGGACAGATGTGAATTTTCTGGCTTTAACTCTCTGTTTGTTGAGGAAAATCAAGGGCTGGAAGCAGGGCAGCTAAAGTTGCTTGTCAGTAAGATGAAAAGATTGGTTTAAGTTGTTTTTTTCCTTCAGGTATTGCATTGCTCTTTGCTGATTGATACTTATTTCTGCTGTCAGTTGCTCTGCGTGAAGGCTTTGTGTATCTGGCAGTATTGCTTTGAAACATACTCTATGTCTTCAGCCACAAATTGTGAAACGGTCGTTGAGGAATTAATATCAACCGTGACGCAGTAGTTACAGCTTTCCTTTACGTCGTGGTGGGCACTGATTCTGCTAGGTTGGTCCCTCCATTTCCATTGGTGTAGATGCATGTTTGATGGATTTTAATGTGCTTTTAATTTTGGATAGTCAACCCCCATTTACTTTTGTAAACCTCTCAGTATACATATGGAACGATGGGGAGGCAATGTTAAAATGAGCTGTGGAAATTATTATATATTAATAGAACCAGAGTGTAGCGGGAAACAAATTTGCTCGTAGAAGCAGTTTTCCATCATACTGGCTCTTAGACTTTTACGTAGTGGTCTCTGTCAGACAACTGTCATTATTTTGCTCTCCAGCCTTCTTGATTTTTCTACAGGGTTGTGGCTTTTGGCTTCAGAAACAAAAGAGAGGGGGCCTACTCTGTTCTGGTAATTTGACAGTACCAAATCGTGTTAAATTAGTGGATGTTTGTATTTGGAATGACAGGGTGGTTTAGCACTGGGAAACACACGGATCTGCCCTTTTTGTGTGTCACCATTTGCATTTGAAAGATGCAAAAACTCCTGCAAGATATTGCTTTCTATACATCTGGGTCTTTTTTGGTGTATAAATTACAGTTCAGAGGCCTACAGCCATTTAGGGTGAAGCGTGATGACCACGGTCTGTTGATATTTGTTGTTGTAAACGCTGCTCGACAGAAAACTTCAGTTCGGATGTATCGTGGGGAAAAGGATGGAGCTTCTTGAGAGGGCACCGAGACTCAGACCTGCCCCTTTGAGGACCGGCAAACTTCAGACCTTTTTTTTACCCCCTCTTTCCCACATTACCTTCCTGACAAAGTCCCTAGCGCTCATGCAAGGCTTTGAACAGCAAAATCCAGTTTAATTATTCACCGAGGATTTTCTCTGTGTGTCCGTGCCATGGGGCTGCTGCTCTTTACTGATGGGGCATCGATGCCCCCAGAATGTCGGCTTGTTGGGGAGGTTCCCTGCCTGCTCAGGTGCTTGAGGAACCGTCCTGCGTGGGTAGGTTGGGGGGGAGGAGGGAGGGAAACGCGTCTGCTGTCTAGTTGCAAAGCTGCCCGCCAAACATCTGAGGGGCGAATTTAGTTTGGCGTTGCTCTTGCGTGGTAGAGCAGCACCGCGACGTCGGTGGAGCGGTGCCGTTGCAGGGCTGCAATGTTGACATAAGCCTGGAGTTCTTTCAGTTTAACCACAAGGCTACACGCTTGAGTTATTAAATAATTTTTTTGTTTAATTGAACTATAATCTTTGTTCGACTCCTAGCTGACAGCTGGGTTTTAATGCGCGGGAGATCAAAACGCCGCGTCCAGGAGATGACACGCTCCGCGGCGAAGCGCGGCTCCGGCGCTGCTGCCTGTTCCCCTTCGCGGGGGTCCCAACC